ACGCCTTGACGACAGCAGTGGGGGATTCATTTCGCTGAAGTCCAAATTTGTGGACGCTACGGTCCAAGTTCTTGGATGGACTTCGGCTGGAGCGATGCAGCACACTCGTGAGATTTCGCAGCTCCTCCAGCCTACCAGCGGAGGACCTACGAGTTCGTGAGGGCTGCAGGCAGGGAGGAGTAGGCACACTCGTGAGGCCTCGTGAACTTGGAGGCTGACATCATTCACAAGTTTTTTCTGATACAGTTCGTGTGGGTGCTATGTGGCGACCACTTCACTAAACGAAGTCGTTTTTTTTTTCGTTTCTTGCACCGTGCGGCCAAGGCCCAAAAAGTGGCCGCAGCCCTGACCTGAGCCAGGCTCTCCGGCAGGCAAAGCTCATGCAACAGGAGGGAGAAAAAAAAAAAAAAAAAAAAAGACACGGATAACAAACAAACCTCCGTTGAGATGCGAGACCTCCCTTGAGGTCCGAGGGCTACTTCTCATTAGCAACGAGGATGGGATGAGGCACCTGAATGTGGACGTGTTTCACCTGGAAGTTCAGAAAAGCAGATCAATAGCGATTTCCTGCACCTCTCCAGAAAAACGGCCAGATTCAGGCTTTAAATCTAGTCCTTTAAACTGGCTTGAACTCGCCCTGCCGTGAGTATGACCTTAGGACATTATCAAAAAGGCCATTGAGAATGCCTTTCTCGGCCTTTTTTCAGTGTGGTCCAATCGACCACGGATCAGATTTATTTTTTTGTCTTTTTTGGTGTGGTCCGAGGGACCACGGATCAGAACAGATACAATGCACTTGATCTTAGCAAAAAGGCCTAGAGAATTGGAACGATACAGAGAGCTTTTTTTTTTTTTTTTTTTTTTTTTTTTTTTTTTCCCTTTTTTTTTCTTTTTTTTTTAAGGGGTAACTTCGGCACAGTCACCAAAACAGTTTGTAATTGCACTTCAGGCAATCCAGCGAATACAACACAGCCGCACGAGTCCCCACCGGACCCGAAACGTAGGTGATATACATTCAGCATTACCGGCCCTTTTGCCTCGAGTGCAATTACAAACTCGATCCCTGACTGTGCCGTAGTTTTCTCTTTTTTTTAACTATACTCTTCTCTCAATTTTTCCTCACACTACCTACCTACCACTACTCCTACCTATAGGCAAACGGGTTTCCCGTAGCATACCAGAGCCGTGTTTTTACGGCCCCTCGAGCCTGCAGGATACCGGCCAGGGGACAGCCGGTAGCACCAGGGATAAAGCAGACCAATCCCCGGATACAGAGAAGTTTTTGTTTTTTGTTTTTTTTTTGATACAGAGAATTTTTTTTATTTTTTTTTATTTTTTTGATACAGAGAAGGGTTTTCCACCCCCCAAAGGGCAGCCAGATGTCGTATGATCCAGGCACTCCGGCCTGGTTCATACGACCGCTGCTTTTGAATTATACAAGTCGGAAAACGGGTCCGGCATCCCTTACATCATAGAGAAGGCCACGGGGTAAACAGTCTCCGCTGACCATACGAAAATGACGAAATCCTAATTATGCACTATGCAATCCTAATTGTGCACTATGCAAATTACCCTAAAAAAAAAAAAAAAAAAACAGAACCTACAAAAACAAAGCCTATCACCATTAAAAATAGCCCAACCCTGCAGATCCACTCTGCCACCCACGCGGCAGCGATCTGTAAGCACAGACCCCGCAAACCCATCCACCTCCTCGCGATGCAAAGCAGATCTCTCCACCCCCTACGTTACCTACCCTAAAACATCAACTCCCTCCATGATGGTGTTTCAGCAAACCCTGCGAAAAGCCCTACCTCCGGCGCGGCAGGGGGCCAAAGGCCCCACAAAGCCCACCCACCTCCTCGCGATTTAGGGTAATCCGCACCCTCGTCCGCGTGCACTCCCCAATGAGATCTTCACCTCCCTCCATGATAAAAATCGTACGGAGCAACGCTCCCCAATCCCACAAGAAAAGGATGATAGAAGACAACTCCAAGCACACACAACGAAATGAACGTAACCCAAAACATTTACGAACCTGCAGAAGTGCCCTACCACCCCCGCGGCAAGGGTCAAAGGACCCTGCAAACCCATCCACCTCCTCGCGATTTAGGGCAAACTGATCCCCCAGTCAGCATGAACCCCCTAAAAACCCTGCCGCCCACCATGACAGGGTCTTCCCAAAGCGACACTCCCACGTTCATCTCACCACGGTACAACGTAATCAACCAAAACACGAACCCAGCAATATCAATCACAAGTAGAACATCCAGCAATACGGTGTAATGCAGCGGAATTTAAGCAGAAAAAGAAAAACATCAGTAAAGCTAAGAAAACAAACAGCTAGCCATTACGCCTAAAGCGGCGACATACAACGAAAAACGAAAAATTGAAAAATCCCAGGAAACTACCGAAAAACAAAACTGACGAATCCCACACCAAATTTGGAATTTTTACAATTCCACAATCCACCAAAACAGCCAAAAAGGTATGACTCTACCTTCTTCCCCCGAATACAACCTACGGTCATTATATCTGTATTTAGTCTGAAAGACACCCCAAATACAGCTATAATGACGGTACGTTGTATTCGGGGGAAGAAGGTAGTAATGAAAAAACAAAGAGGTATATTTTCTTGGCCTTTTGGCTAAGGGCCAGAACCCACGGGCAAAGAGGTTCGGAATAAGTGTCTGAATCTGGACGTGTTCCACGCAGAGGTGCAGAAAAGTAGATCAATCACATTTCTCGCACTGTCCACAAACACGTCCACATTCAGACACTTCCTACAATCCTCTTTGCCAGTGGAATCTCGCCCCTAAGATCTTGTAGTATCTGTTCTGATCTTTTTTTTTTTTTTTTTTTTTTTTTTTTTTTAGCAAAGTTTCATTATAAAGGCAACAGGAGGCCGGGAATCCCTCCACATCTCACATTCGGGCCGTTGATCTTTCGAATCTACGGTCAGAAGTTGAGATTTCAGGTCAGTGGGACTCGGCCCCGGGTCCAGTGTCCCATGCTCCTATCAACAGTCTTGCTATCTCTGAAAAAAAGGGGAAAAATAGACAATTGAAATCTACCCAAAGACACCAAGGAACGAGCTCTCTCTCTATCCAAGATCCTACAGCCATTCATTCATNTTTTTTTTTTTGAAATAGCAAAGTTTCATTATAAAGGCAACAGGAGGCCGGGAATCCCTCCACATCTCAACCCGGAAAAGGGAACCAAGCCTCAGAGAAGCTAGCTGGAACCCGGGTCCAGTGTCCCATGCTCCTATCTTCTTTTTTTTTTCCCTCCAACCCTCTTTGCTAATGGGACCATGCTCCAGGGCCGAGGTCCCACTAGCAAAGAGGCTCAGATCGAATGCCTGAATCTGGACGTATTTTATGCAGAGATGCAGAAAACCAGTTCAATCTCGATTTCCTGCACATGTCCACGACCTCGTCCAGATTCAGGCATTCCATCCGGCCCTCTTTGCTAGTGGGACCACCACCCAGGTGGTGTTGATAGGGGTGCTGGTACGAGCAGGCACCACTTTTTTTTTTTTTTTTTTTTTTTTTTTTTTGAAGCAGGCACCACTGCTGATCAGTTTAATATTAATATCTGGTCCCTGGTCCATCGGGCCACACGATATTAAATTAACATTTTGGGACAATGAAGGGGTCATAAGGGTAGGCTTGCCTGCCGACCCCTTCGAGTTGCCTTTGCTTTGCACTGCAGCGAAGCGCGGCAGGTGGCCTATCCTGTCAGGACAAACATTGGCTGCTGCTGCCAGCAATGACTGCGGGTCTGGTCCTTGCCCTCTACGACACCCTGGACTTTTGGGGGGGAAAAAAAAACACCCATTAAACCACCAGTACTTGGCCCAGCTATCGATGCCGAGCCTGCGCGCCGGCCCTCGGAGGTCGACGAAGCAACATGGGCTGTTGATGTGAATTATCCACGGCCCGTATATGCCAAAATGCCCCGGAAAAATGTGGGTGGAGCGGAATACCCCTCCGAAAACAAACATAGTTTGTGAAATGCCCCTAGAATCGGTTGGACCCCCATCTTTGCAATATACCCCTACCGGGTACCGTCCAACTTTGCAAAATGCCCCAGTAGTTGCTAACAAATTTTTCTAGGCGCTATTGCAAAAGGCCAGGGCCCAAACGGGGCGGTCCAGATTGCAAAGTTGGACACCCGCCTGACAGGGGCACAACACAAAGATTTCTGCTCAAAAGGGCATTCCGCTCTACCCACATCTTTCAGGGGCATTTTGGCACATTAGGATACTTGGCTCTTGAGGCCGAGGTCGCCGGTTCGAATTCGTGCTTGCACGGAGGAGGGCTAAGGTATCTCAAGTTATGGGGGCAATTTTTGCAAATTATTATCCCCCCCCCTTCCCCCCCCCCACCCCCAAAAAAAAACCATTTATTGTTGGGTTGGGTGGGGGAGGGGGGCCGGGGGTCAGGAAAACAGAAAACATCATAGTCTACGGACACACAGCCTACGGGCACATACACAGCCTACGAGCAAAATAATCTATCTATCTTTTTCACCCCTGAAAACATACACGGTCTTTATGGACACACGTAGAGCCTACGGGCACATACACAGCCTATGAGCAGAGAATGCCATTGGGCATACAAACAACCCGTGGGCACACACATAGCCTACGGGCACAATTACAATGCCAGGGGTTATTTGGTGCCTGCTAGGGGTGTCATAGACTAGATCTGGCCTTTGAGGGCGTATCAGATATAGGGCGTCGCCGCACGGGACACGAAACGAAAAACGAAACGAGTGCATCTTCCTGCAGAAAATGGCCAGGTTCATCGGTTTCCTATAAATAGTAACGAGTGTATTTTGCTACCTTTCGCGGGCAGATGCGCTCGTTTCGTTTTCGTTTCGTGTGCCGTGCGGCGAGACCCATAGTTAGTGATATGCTGAGTAGGGTTGTTGCTCCCCACCAATAGATGGAGCCTTTTGACTTCAAAAAAGAAAAAAAGAAAAAAAAAAAAGAATAGTTTGTGGGGCCTGCTTGATTGAATTCTGGCCTCGGAGGTACGTCTCTTACAAGACTGGCCTGATCATGCTTTTTATTTTTTTTTTATTTTTTTTATTTTTTTTCTGGAACTGGGGCTGGGTGGTGTTACCTGCCTAGCCCAGGGGCGTGGTCCCACCAGCAAAGAGGATCGGATCGAATGTCGGAATCTGGACGTGTTTGTAGAGAGGTGCAAGAAATCAAAATTGAACTGCTTTTCTGCATCTCTGCATAAAACACGTCCACATTCAGGCATTCGATCCGATCCCTTTTGCTTATGGGACCTCGGGCCAGGTGCCTATAACTGCTTTAGGGTGCAAGTCACCTTCTGAGATAGGATAGTGGGAATAGTGGTGCCCTAGGAGACTAGGGCTGCCCTGGTAGGAGGAGAATTGATGAGAGGATGGGTAGGGAGGCGGTCTCGTATAGATGAGATGCAAGTTTGCGCTGGGACTGGGTATAGCGGGGATTCCCATCTTTAAGTGGGGTCCAGATGCAATTTTCCCTTTTTTTAATTGAATCGGGATTCCTCTCCTCATGGAAAAAAAACTCTCTCTCTCTCTCTCCTCTCTTCGCACGGGCATCGTACAATTGCACAAACACAATTGCCACGTCAGCAAGTTATCCACAAAGAAAGGTGGGTCCTTGAAAAAAAAAAAAAACCGGTCCCGGCCACGAGCATGACATTGGAGGAGGGAGAGTAGGAGGAGGAGGTCAGCGGATCGATCCCCCACACACGGTGGTTCAGTCGGTCTACGAAATACAGGCAGCTGTCGTTGATCGCCATGCTGTTGGTGCCGAAGGCCACGTCGGAGATGTTGACATCCAGATCCGGTGAAGAGGCGAAGGTCGCGACTTCCTCCCACCTCCCTCCGGTCCCGATCGGCATGTCGGGATCTGAGACTTCGAGCGAGAGAATGCGAACAGGAGAGGACGTGTCGGAGACGTAAACACGTGTCTTCGTCGGATTGAACGCCAAGCTATTCACCGTTCCCACTTGGGACAAGGAAATGGACGTACGATTCCCGAAAGCCGTGGACATGTAGGTGATGTTGGTGGAGCTGGGAGAAGATCCTCCTCCTCCTCCTCCTCCTCCTCCTACTACTACTACTACTACTACTACTCCTACTACTACTCCTGCTGCTGCTGCCATATCCGAATTACTGGAGGCCATTACCAAATTGGTGCCGGGCTTGGTCACATCCAGTCCGTTCACGGAGGGGATGGAGTCGTTCTTCGTCTTCGCGTTCCTGATGGAATCCCTTCTGTACCGTCGGCCATGAAAGGTGGGGCGAGAGGTAGACCACCAAGAGCCGAGAAAAGAGTCCGTAGCATTTAGGAAAGCTCCGTCGTTGGTGCGGGTGAGATTAGCTTGCCGGAAAGAAACACGCCAGTCACGAATCTGGCCTCCATGACCGTCCACGTTCTCGCATCGCTCATCGTAGACATAGTAGAAGACAGTGTCATTGGGAACGAAGACTAGGTTCCTGTAGTTGGATCCGCACCACCACTTGTCCTTGTTGGGAGAGGAGGGGAGAAAGGGAGGTTCGGGATGTCTGACGAGAACAGATCTTCCGCTGCGGTAAAGGAAGAGAGCAGGGTTGAGTATGGTGGGTTCGCTTGGCTGCGAAGAGACACTCTGCGACGAAGAAGAAGCTGAAGAAGAAGCGGCGACGGGAGAAGCGAGGGACGAAGCCGAGGCTGGAACCGAACCTGAAGCGGCGTATTCCAACCCGGGAGGTGAAGGCGGAGCCCACGCAGAGGCTCCATCCTCAACATACGTGTAAGAAGATGCCGAGGCTGAACCCGAGGCTGGAACCGAGGCTGGAACCGAGGCTGGAACCGAGGCTGGAACCGAGGCTAGACCCGAGGCTGGAACCGAGGCTGGAGCCGACAATGGAACGTCGATCCGCGCCCGTAGGAATCGAGAACATGGCTTAGTGGACGAACGGTTAGCCTTCAAGCTGGCCGACGTACTTCTGATGATCGCTGCCTCCTCTCCTGTTACGTTGAGCCCGCTGCATGCACATGCACACGTGATAAGCACCACGAGAGAGAAGCTGAACAGCCGAGCGAGGAGATAGAGAAGCGTGAGAGGCGATCGAACGTTCCTGGCTAGCGATATGGAACGAAACGGACGGTTCCCGATGCGCACATGCAGCTCCATAATGATCACACGATCACAGCGACTGCCCGCCGTGACGATCGTAATTAACCTCGTCCCATCGGGATCTAGTCTAGCTACGGAGGACTACTCAGACCTACCCATCGGGATCCAGAGTACCTACGGAGGACTAGTCAAGACCTACCCATCGGGATCTAGTCTACCTACGGAGGACTGCTCAGACCTAGTCATAGCTGAGAAGACACTGACCGATTCCACTGTAGCTTGGGAACGGAACCAACTTCACGTTCGAAAGAGCATAGCAAGCCACGTAGGTTCAGCTTCAAAAGACTTTGCCGTAGGCTCGACACGTTGCGCCTCTATCCCGCCCACCCCGCCCCCGCTCGCTTCGGTCTTCCAATCATTGGCGTCGTTCAGGGCAGCCATAAGCGCACCGAGGCCACACGTGGCGAGTCGACGTCGGCCCAGACAGCTACAGATCCCTACCGCCTTCTCCGGAACACAACGCACCGTGATTTTCAACGTATATTACATGTGTTCGCGGTCCGATACGGTCGTGATGAGGAGGCTGCCTTATGCTGGGGGACGACGATAGACGGTGGTGGTCCCCCCCGTTCTGCTCCATTATCACAACTCCCCCTCTCCATCTCTTGTCCCTGCCGCTGCTACTGTTCCTCTCCGCTTGATCCCCCATTGAGAGGCACTCACCTCCACCTCCTCAGTTCGATGACGATATCGCTAGCCTGTCGCCCTGGGAAAAAGGTATCTTCTCTGTATCGGTCCCCCTCTTCATCTCTTGCCGCTGCCGCTGCTACTGCTCCTCTGCGCTTGATCCCCCATCGAGAGGCACTCACCTCCACCTCCTCAGTTCAATGACGATATCGCTAGCCTGTCGCCCTGGGGAAAAGGTATCTTCTCTGTATCGGTCCCCCTCTTCATCTCTTGCCGCTGCCGCTGCTACTGCTCCGCTCCGCTTGATCCCCCATCGAGAGGCACTCGCCTCCACCTCCTCAGTTCAATGACGATATCACTACTGTAGCCTGTCGCCCTGGGGAGAAGGTATCTTCTCTGTATCGGTCCAACGGGCGTCACTCCGCTACTCACGAAATGTGCAAAATGAGAACGAATCTTCAGCTAAAACGTGGCATGATACGCCTCCATATTTTTTGCCTTTTGTGTCGAACGGGAGTC